AATAAACCCAGAAGTCCTATTTAAGCCAAGCTCAGGGCTGTTACTTCTTGTCTGAGTAATTCTAGAGGAGTATTGGGTTTTAGCTTAGTATAAATTGAAACTAGCTATGGCTCTTGAGTCTGTGCTTATTGTTCTAGACTTGGTAAGTTATTAATGGATAAAATATTAAAGTATTTTGTCATACTTTTATTACCAGCCTATATCATAACATACAAATTTAATTCTAATTTTAGACTTAGATCTGCCTTGTCCTCTTGAACTTGCCTGCTCATCTGTATTTCTGAATACTCTCTGGATGCCATCTCTAGATGAACCTTAGTCATCTTCCATAGGTGCTGAAGGATGGAATGGGAACTGCTGAGTATTTCCACAAGCTTGGCAATCCAGACTTTTAGATAAGAGCTGGAGATATCCCAGGGGATGTTTTTTGCCCTTAAAAATCAACCAATTTCTAAAACTGTATAATTTATAATGAAATCTTCTTTGTAAAAGCCTTGTTGCCCCACTAGAGCCTCTACCCCAGAGGCTGGGTAGAGAGCTGGGCATGAGGAATGTGTTAGGAGGAAACAAAAGAAACATGGTTTGTGTAGTCTGACGAAACAAAGGGAAGGATGTGACTGCTGTTGATAAATACATCAGAAGAATGAACACTGGGGTAAGGATACAGACCCTACTTAAAATGGATTAAATAAGTAGAAACAGACTTCAGAAAAAAGAACCAACTTGTCTTCAATGATGTGTTTAGTCTCCTGTTCAAAACTGCAAGAAAGAAAGAAAGAAAGTATCAGTTTCTTATCAGGGAAAGTCTGCTCAGGTTATACACTGAGGTATCTGTGATGGAGATGACTTGGTAGCTTAGAAACTCTCTGCCAGCTCCTATATCCATGAGAAAGTCAGACTTCTAATTTTTAACTTATGCAGAAGGAGGAAGACTGCCCATCTGACAGATAAGTATTTTTAGCCTTATACATGCTGAAAAAGGATACAGAGTTTTCCCAGCTATGAGACTTACTTTTAGCTGTTCTCTAAAAAGCCAAGATAAACAGAGTATAGCGTTAGTACATGTACAAAATAAAATCTTAAAATACAATTTTTTTAAAGAAAATGTGGCTGTTGTCTAAACATCTACCATAAGTTATCACTGAACATATTTTTATGTTGCCTCTTTTATTAATCTATCAAATGTATGCAGAACCAGGAAAAAGATCTCTGAAGATCCTTTCTTTCCTGACAAAGGTGGGGGAAAGCTGACTGTCATCTCATCACATCTTGAAAAAGGCTCTCAAAGGCTGCTGTGTCAAATCCTTTCCCAGTACTGGAGACAAATCTTCTGGAAAAATTAGAAAGCTTGTATAATGCACTATAGGAATAATTTTAATAGAGAATATTAAATTTTATTTAACTTTCTAATGAACTCAGAAATATCCCAAAGCATGGAGAGTTTTTGGAGTCATTCTGGCCTGCTTAATGGAAAGGAAACCCAAACAGCCTCTGTGTTTATTTTGCAGTTGATGCACAAATTATTTCCTAATAAATGGCAATGCTTCTACAGAGCCAGGGCTGGGCCATGGAGAAACCTGAACTCCAGTGGGAAATCAGCTGGTAGAATTGGGTGCTGGCAATTTAGTGCTGTTTGGATCATGGTATCTGAGATCCTTTCCAGAGAAGAAATGTGTGCACTAAATCAACAGTAATCCCAGCTAAAAAAGTAGCTGACCTGAATTTGAACTACATCTGTCCAGCACAGATTTCTGGGAAATGCTCCAGGAATGAACAAATCTGGCAATGCAGAGAACTAGAGTTCCTGAGTTGCACTGGAGTTCCTGTACTTGCCTAAACTGGGCTGACAGGAGCCACAATATGCTGCCTGTGGAAAGGCTGAGCCTCCACAGGAGCGGCTGAGCACAAGAAGGAAAAATCACTTTCTAACCCTGCAGAATCTTGCAAAGAGACAGTTTGCAGCAAAAGCTGTGAAATGTCAAACTCCCAGCTGATTTGTCTCCTTAAAACCATGGACTTTCAAGGTATCATTAGGAGCAGCAGCTGCCTTTATAAATATTGTTCTAATGGAGTCCGGGAGATATTGGTGTGTGAGTGACAAAATATTTTCCCTGCAGGCACTTTGGCATCAGTACTCACTTTTCCTATCCCAACACCCCAACAGGGCTTTGCTAAATAGATTTTCAGTGAACTGAAAAGCTCCCTTTTCCTAAAACTTGTTGTATCTTTTACCAAAGGACCAGTGAAAATTAGGGGGGTTTGGGAGGAGGGGTGTGATGCAAGTTGTTTCCTGGGTTATTTCTCTGCCTCTTTATTATTAAATATTGGACAAAAAAATGCCACTTGGCTGGGGACAAACCAGGCAAAAAGAGAGCCAATAGTGAATGCATGAGGTGAATGCTTCAGCTAATGGTATGTTTTTAATTTTTTAAAAAAAATTAAAATTTTGAGTTGATCCAGATGCTATTACAACACCCTCAAACTTGTTTTAGTCAATTTTTTTTTCTTTCAGTTAAAGGGTTTAATTCAGGATAATAAAAGAAAAAAAAAAAAAAGACTAACTTATTGTGGAGGAATTATTCTGAGAACCAAAATAAAATAACTTTATTGTACTTGTATGTGTTTTAGATGAGGCCACTTTAATTAAATTTATTGTGGTTTACTGTAAACTAGTGAATTCATGTTTTGTGTTCTCTGTGCAGGATGAAAAGTAATTACATTTCAGTTGCATTATAATTTAGCAGGTTGTAACAGACACAGGGACAGGGCTGAAATTTTTCCATCTTTTAGATTGGAGTTTTAAATCACAGCCAGCTGATGACTTGCATGGGGGTGCCACAAAGCGTAGGGTGCCACAGAGCGTAGCCCAATTCCATGCACAGTTTAATTTGGGAATCTAGACCCAAGTACCTACTTGTCATGCACAGAATGAGACTGGGAGGTCATCAGGGCCAGGGAGGCAGTAGCTGCTTCTATAATTCAAATGAGTTTAGAGAACTTGAGCATTTTTCTTTGTCATGTTTAATCTATATATTCCTCATAATGGGATTATGTCATGGAGAAAAATCCAATAATGCAAGCAAAACCTGAACTGTTCATGTAAATGGGGAAAAAACCTCAGAAAATCTTTCTAAGGGGTCTGAGAGAGGGTTGAGGAACAGCTTTAGGCAGTGGGGTCCAGGTGTGCAAGACTTGTTTTTAAGGCAGAGACTTACGAGTGGTTTTCCTAGGGAAAAGGAAGGGGTGAGGATGTCCAAGTCAAATAGGGCAAAAAGATACTCATGAGTAAATTAAATTGGGTGGAGTTCCAGTGTGCTTTTCCACCTGGAATCTGAAAAGGGGAGAGAAGGCAGTCAGTAGTACACTTGCTTCTGTGTGGGAACTAGTGTAAAAATAAACGTTGGCGTGACCAGAGGGAACAGACAGAACAGGTAAGATGAGAGAAACTGCTGCAGCAGCAGCATCCAAATGCGATGATGCAGGTATGGAGACATGGATCTGATCGCCTGGGAGCTGAGCAGGGAAAGGAGGATTTTCAGGAGAGTTACAGCACCTTCCAGACGGGAGGTGAAGGGGGATATTTCATGTAGTTCACTTGAACTATGTAGATTAGAAATAAATAAATGAACCTCATGTGAAGACCTCTCTGCCAGCACAAGGCTGTGGGGCTGTGCTGGGCCATCAGAAACAACACATGAAATGTGGGAATTACAATAGGCATTATATCAGATGCTGGATATTGCAGGGGATGAATCAGACCAGCATCTGGCAGCTTGGTGCATCCACAGTGAACTTGCACTGATTTGACTACAAAGGGAAAGAAATAACCTGTGGAACAATTTTCAATGTGAACTCTGTTTCAGGAAAGGGCACACTTTTGCATTCCACTCTGAGACTACATCTCTTGGGGTGGAGCCACCAAGTCTTCAAAAATGTTAGGGAGACTCCTGGAAATCCCCCCAAAAAATGCATTTTGACTTTTTTTAGAAAGTAACACACACAGCTTTTAAAATTTATAAGAAATAAAGCAGTTTTGTTTGCTTTTGTGTATTCCCTTGTAGTACTTGTTCTCCTAAAGCTTCTGCACGGTATAATGAAATTGAAACTGATTCTATGGGACAGGGAAATATATTGGCTCCATGACTCCCATAATTTAGAGAACTGCCCAGAGCTGTAAAGAAGTATAGTTAAGGGGAAAAAAACCCCAACAAACAAATATTAAATATATTAATATATATTAAACAAATTCTGCTGACTTGAGGTGAATCCATATGTAACATTTTAAGATCAAATTTGTTAACACAATTTAGAAAATTTGTATCTCTATGGGCTGTTTTTGAAATTTTGATTGCTCATGGATGGGGATCAGTACAGCAGGAGATGATTTTAATTTACAACACCAGCTCTTACTTTAAAAGACCACTCCAGGCTTTAAAAGGATAGACATAATGTAGAGTTATACTTCATGGCACCAAGATCTGACCCTCTCGCTGTTCTCCCAGCACAGAGACTGAGCAGAACCAGTTCTGTAATAGTGATTAATATTTAACTCAAATTTCCCCTTCCTGTCCTCCTGGGCTTCGGTCAGTTGGCCACAATGGCCCATTGAGGGACCTGTAGCTGCCCACACTGCAGTGAACAGCGGTTTACACACAGTCCATGAAGCCATTTAGAATAAAACTAAAAAGTCCTAAACACAGGGATTGTCTGGCTTAAATATCCACTAACCTACTTGATTAAAGCTATCTCAGTGTGTGCTAATGATAAATGAGCAATAATAAAGGGATGTTTTTTCTTGCTACCCTAATACAAATAGAAAAACAAACACAAGTATGGCAGTAACTGCACTGGAATGACCAATTAGTTACATTTTTGAACAACTGTATTTATTATCCTTTGAGCAGACATTTAGGACTCAGACACATGTACCATGAAAAAAATTAATCTACAGCACCATTTAGGGTCATTTTAGGGTTAGAAGGAGTCCTTTAGCGGACATTTTCTCATGGGTTGGCCTTCAACAGATATCAATAGCTCACATTTCAGCTTCTACTTTATCAGATTTAAGTAAAATTCCAGTGGAATCCTCTGGTTTTGACAAACTTTTAGGTAATTATGCTCCAAGGGGCTGCCAGATTGCAGCCCCTTCAGCGCTGAGCATCGCGGATGGGAGCACACAAGTTTGTCAGTCACCTCCTCAGCCAGGATGGAGCGGGGGATGACCCCGGCCCCACCTGTCCTGGAAAATTGGGAGTGAGGGCTGTGGGAGGTGTCGCCGCCCCGCACCGCCCCTTCCCTCCACCAGGGGGCGCAGGGC